TAGAGCAATAAAGGCAAGAAAAAGAAATAAAAGGCATCCAAACTGGTAATGAGGAAGTTAAACTGTCCCCGTTTGCAGATGATATGATGCTATATGTAGAAAACCCTAAAGACTCCACAAGAAAATTACTGGAACTGATAGAAACATTCAGCAGAGTAGCAGGATACAAGATCAACATACAAAAATCAGTTGGATTCCTATACACCAATAAAGAGAATGATGAAAGGGAAATCAAGAAAACAATACCATTTATAATAGCCCCTAAAAAAATAAAATACTTAGGAATAAATCTAACCAGGGATGTAAAAGACCTATACAAAGAAAACTACAAAACGCTACTGCAAGAAACCCAAAGGGTTCTACATAAATGAAAAAACACACCACGCTCATGGATAGGTAGACTCAACATTGTGAAAATGACAATTCTACCCAAAGCAATTTACAAACACAATGCAATCCTGATCCAAATACCAACTACATTCTTCAAAGAGATTGAAAAACTAATCATTAACTTTATATGGAAAGGGAAGAAGCCCCGAATAAGTAAAGCACTATTGAAGAAGAAGAATAAAGTAGGAGGACTCGCACTACCTGATCTCAGAACCTACTATACAGCTATGGTAGTCAAAACAGCCTGGTACTGGTACAACGACAGATACATTGACCAATAACAGAATTGAGAACCCAGATGTAAATCCATCCACCTACTGTCACCTGATCTTCAACAAGGGCCCAAAGTCCATCAAATGGGGAACAGTCTTTTTAACAAATGGTGCTGGCAAAACTGGATATCCATCTGTAAATAAATGAAACAGGGCCCATACCTCACTCCATATACAAAAACTAATTCAAAATGGATCAAAGACCTAAATATAAAGCCAAAAACTATAAGTTCATAGAAGAAAAAATAGTACCAACACTATAGGCCTTAATACACGGCATTAACAGGATACAAACCATAACCACCAACACACAAACCCCAGAAAATAAGCTAGATTACTGGGATCTTCTAAAAATCAAACACCTATGCTCTTCAAAAGACTTCACCAAAAGAGTAAAAAGAGAACCTACAGACTGGGAAAAAATTTTTGGACAGTA